CACCCTCATCGATGACTTTTCTTTGAGATTGTGTCCTTTGGAAAATTTCCAAAAGTCTCGGCTAACCTATATTCAGCCTCTCCAACATGAACGGTCCTTCAAGCAAGGAACATGGTGTTGTGCAACTAAAGATGCTCGGGAACATAACCACCAAGTTAGACAATGTTGGGCCTTGATTTTGCCAATGTCACCAAGTGACTCCTCAAAGTTAGATGTCCTCATGCCATTAGGGTCACCTGATGCTTTTATCTCTAGAGACGAGACCAAGGGAGGCACCCCCCTAATCGAGCTAATGGGCATATTACTATCGCGAGACCAAGGGAGGCACCCCCTTAATCGAGCTAATTGAGCTAAGAGGAGGCAAGGGGACCGAGGTGTCGAGGGGGAGGGTTGTCTTATCCCCTTCCCATCGGTGCCGGCGAGGTGGTCGGGGGCGATCGCGCCCCTGTAGCGGTGCGGTCGGACAAACATGGGGAGGGGAGCAGGTGAGATGGGCTGGGCCGGTTCGGGTGGCTAAGGCCCGGGGGAGCAGGAGCCCTCTCCCCCTTTTTCCTTTTTTTATTTTGTATTTTTCTTTTATTTGTTCATGTTTTCTTTTTAGTTTCAACTTATTTTAGTTTTATAAAGTATAAAACTTGCACCTAATATTATTATAATTTAGGCTACTGCCACATTAAGTTTAGTATTTAAATAAATTAGTTTATATTTTTATAATTTTAAAAAGATATTCAAATAATTGTTTTAGCCCTTGTTTTAATTATTTAAGGGCATTTAAACACTTTATTAAATGTTTGTTTTTCCACCATAATTATCGATGTATTATTTTCCATATTATGAACATTTTAGTTTTCATGTTTGAAAACTTCTCAAGTTTACTTGTTATTTGAATTTGAATTCACATGGAATTTGAAATGAGATAGAATCAAAGATGATCATGCACTGTTTAGCAAAATGATTATCTTAATTTTAGAGGTTACTGTAGCTCATAAATACAGGGGTGTTACACATACCACCACTAACAGTAGATGATTCAGGAGTATTTTGTTAGCAGTATTATTGTCTATGATAGCTTGGTAAATAAGATCATTATTCTGAGCAATAAGAGTAGTAAACTAGTAATTTCAGCCGATTGTTCAGGAGAGAAGATTTTGCTTATAGTCGGCTCTACCTGCTCGTTGTGAAGAGGAGGAAACTTGATTTCTTCAATTGAAGTGATGTTACCTTGGATATCCTTTTTGAACTTAGCAAGGAACTCTTGGGTCTCCTTCTCTTCACGCGCCTTCTTGTACTCATAAGCTTGGCGATGGTCTGACAATAATTCCTCAAAATTGGGCCTGATGATGTTATCAGCATCCACTTCAAATGGCTTGGGAAGAACGACCATGATGGATGATGATGATGATGATGATGATGATGATGATGATGATGATGATGATTGTTCTTTATGTCCCCATCGGAGTCGCAGAAAAGTGTGTTGACACACGAACATGTCACCATGTACCCTCGACACCAGGGGTGATGCACCGCAGCTCACGTCGAAGGAGGTCCGACCGGCAGCATGATAAGCAAGACAGCCGACGGACGCTTTTGCAAACCCGAAACCCCACACGCTCGAGAAGGACACCATCAGGGAGTGCGGTAGCTATGGGCTGCCTTTGGTCGATTCACTCGCCCCTAGAGCCTCAGGATTCATAGCTCTCAAACACGAAGAACAATGAAGAACGAGAAAGAAAAACGATGGAGAGATAAAACATAGATGAAAAAGTAGTAGATTGATTTGTTTGATTGTGTGTTGTTCAATCTGCCATCACCTCTCATCTACTTATGAGGCAGCTGGACTTCCCATGCAAGAAAATGACTCCAAATTCCGTCCAAATCTTTCCAAAATTATGCGAACTCGAATTTAGGTAAGTCTGAGACAACAGTTCAGTTTTTGAATCTCACAGGCCACAAACAAGCATGGATGAAGATGAGACCAAAAGAAAATTTAACCATTTCGACGAGACAAACAACTTTCATGTTGAAGGTTTCTCGATTTGAGGCCATCTTTAATACCCTACGAGGCCATCTTTAACTTCCAGTCAGACTTGGTCATGCAGTTTTCTTATCTGTCCGAGTTTTGTAGCAACCTTGCAGGCCGTATACTGTCTCATATGATGATGACTCCAAAAGAAAAGTTAACCGTTTCAATGATGCACACAACTTCTGTGTAGTACACTTTTTCATCCGAGCCCATCTAGATAATCTTTTTAGCCCATCTTTAGCTTCTGGTCGGATTGACCCTGACAGTTTCCGGCAAGCTTTTCATGCTGGCAAGCTTTCCACGCCAGCATGCTTTTCATGCCACCAGCGTACTTTTCACGTCGGCAAGCTTTTCACACTGGCAAGCTTTTCAAACCGGCAAGCCCTTCACTCAAACCAGCAAGCTTTCAAAACCGACAAACTTTTCTCTTGGCCGGCAGGCCCTTCAAAACCGGCAAGCACTCAAAACCAGCAAGCTTTCAAAACCGGCAAGCTTTTCTCTTGACCGGTAGGCCCTTCAAAACCGGAAAGCTTCCAAAATCGGCAAAGGCCAAATAGCTTGTGCGACCCATCAGACACCACCTAGGTGGGTGTCTGGACCCTCGTGTCACTTTTTCACTCGGGATCGGTCCGCGAAGTGTTGCCTCTAACTTTTGCATCAACCACTTCGACGTGACAAAGACAATTCATGTAGATCATTATTTTCATTTGAGGCCGCCTTGGGGACGTAATCAGCCAAATAGTGATTTAAACATAAAATTTTAGAACTTTGAACACAATTTCGGCTCCTAAGATGAGGTCGGACAGTGATTACCCAACATCAAAGTTTCTCGATTTGGTGATATGAAACTTTTTCATGTTGAAACTCTTTTCATTTGGGGCCATCTTAATGGCATTTTGTACCATGCCAAAATCTGATGTCAACAATATGTACCCAGGTTTATCGATGCACTTCCCGTCCATGACCTTGTTTCCTTGGAACTCACTAGAACACTGCTAAGTGGTACTACTCATGTAAGAGGAACTCCAGTTGATCTCTAAGAAATAGAGGAGTATCCGATCGAGTAACCTTACTGGAGTATTTTTTTTTACTCCACTAACTTTCGACCGGACCTAGCCGTTCTTGTAAATCTAGCGGAGTAAAAAAGCAAATTTGGATAAGATGAACATAGATCCAATTTAAACAAAAAATTTAACCAAAATTCAACACATAGTTTACATTACCATTAGGCGAATTATAGTCTAGTTAAACCGATACTAAAACTTGAACTTAAACATAAACTAAAACTTAAAGCAAACCTGAATTTAGTCATTATCGGACTTGGTGAGGGCCAACCTATCCGCCCTAGACATCCCACTGGCCGTGGGGTCAGGCCTTGTGACATAGTCGCCGAAGTCAGGGTAGATCCTTCACCACTCTTCAACGTCGAAGTC